GCTCCCCCCAGCTGATGACATGGCGGGGGACGGGGGGACAGTTCTAACTTGCCTTTTGCAGGGCCCTTATGCCCAGGGGCTGTGAAAGCTGCGCCGTGACAGATGCTGTTTGGCTGGGGCAGAGTCCCCCAGGGGCCCGACTGCAGCGACGGGTGCTGAACCCCTGATGCTCTGTCCCGGTGATTTCCCCCGTGGGGTTACGTGTGTCCCTGTGAGCTGGTCCTTTCTGCTCTGCCCGCACGCCTCATCTGTCGAGGTGCCTCCTGCTTCAAATTTCGGGTCATTTCAGGGCTATGCCAGCTGCTCTCTAAACTGAAAGGCAGTAATCAGACCCCAGGGCTTGGGGCTCCTGCTATGGTTTCCTCCCCTTTGCCTTGTCCCTTTGCCAGGCCATGGAATAATCCTGCGTGGACTGCTGTGAGCATCGTTCAGAGCGAATTTTGTGCGGCACTGATGGTGCTTTTCTGCCATCCACTTGTATTAACGCTCTCATTGGGAAAAAAAATAACCTTTTACATGGGCCAGCATGAGTCTCCTGTTCCTCAGTGATCTCCTCCAAGCACAAAGTGATTGCTCTGTGATTAATTACTGTAGGATTTTAGTAGAACATCTGGGCACGTACATGGGAAATGTTTTCCAGCTATTGCAGCAGCTTGAATGGTCGCGCTGACATCCCGGTGGCTGCAGGTGAGGTTCATGGGGGGGCGAAGGGGGAGAACCTGCACTGCTCTGGGTGCTGCTGCGGCAGCGAAGCTGCGTTCACACGGCAGCGGGTGCTGCTTTAGCTCTAGCAGTTAAAAACCAGCTGCTCTCAGGCGGGTGAAGCCGTGGCTGTCAGCTTTGATGTGAGCGAGATGAGCACGCTGATCTCTCAGCCCACTGTAAGGAGAGGGTGACCCTGTGTGCCTGCTGCCTTGGCTTCATCTGCTCCCTGCTTTCCCTTACAGCTCAGGTTTAGATGACATCCGAAAGCACCAGGATGTACTGGTTCCATACTGGTTTATGCCCGGTTGCCTAGTGTAGCTTAGACTGCCTCCCAAACCGGTCCAACACAAGCCCATCTGAAACGTGAGCGAGTCTGTACCTTGTATTTGACCCGGCGAACTGTACCGCTGCAAAGTCAGACATCAGACACTGAAATTAGAGTTAATCTCCAGAAAAGTGTCAGACTTCTGTGGTTCTGCACAAACCTCACTTGTGTCTCTGCTTCCCAGCAATACAGCTGTTGAGAAAAGGATGGTATCTTGGTTTTTGAGGCCCCTTGCCTTATCCAGAGCGGCTCAGGGACCATCTCCGGGGCTGAGCCCTGCTTGGCACAGAGGATGCTGTCTGGAGGGCTCTGGTTGTGTTTGCTGTGAAGTTGTGGTACGTGGGATGTGGAGCTGCAGGAGGGAGGAAAATAATCTCGTTTTTTGGCAGCCCTGGGTGCCTCTCGTGCCTGTGCTCAGTGAGATCTTTGGCTGCAGGACAGCCACCTCCGGTTCCTCATTCTGCATGGGTCTAATAGTGATTTGGAGAAGTGCAACTGCGGTCAGTAAGTGCTGCAATTGGACAGAATATTGTGCTCAGCTCCATGGTGCAAAGTACTCTGAAAAATGTCAAAAGGGTTGCAAACCCTCCGACATATCTTAAAGTAGTCATTAATCAGGGAATTGGGATGATGGGTCTGTCTAGATGGCGATTGTAAGGATTTCGCTTCTGAGGCGGCTGGTGCAGGTCCCAGGCTCTGTCAGCAGGATGCTCCTATTCTTTTTTTCCCTGCCGATGCTGACCGGTAGCATAAACTGCTTTTTGGTCTCACGTGGCCTGCCAGGCTCTCAGCATGGGCCTGTGTGCGTTGTGGACTAAAAGGGACTTCCCTGCAACTTAAATCTTATCTCGGGCTTTCTCTGTGCCCAGCTGTGAGCTATCACAAGCCCATGTATCCCCAGGACAAACTCGTTTTTATGTGCCCTCCCTCCCCACGAAAAATCCATCCTGGCATGTGCTGGGAGGTCTTGCTGGGATGTGGCTTTGCTGGGGCTGCGTCCGTGCTGCTGGGTGCTTGACGGTGGGAGTCACTGCCGAAATCACAGTGAAGTTGTTGAAACTGCGTGGAGGCACCTGCAGCCTTCCCACGATGGGTGAAGGAAAACAGGCAGCAAAAGGTCTTGATCTCCTCCTGTGGCAAACGTCAGATGAGCTTCAACCAGAAGCACCTTTTCTCCCCTGTAGACTCAGCTCAGAGGAAGGTGTCCCCACTGCCGTGTCTCGGTTTGGGCCGATGAACCCAGCTGTTCGGGACAAACAGAGCCTCTTCCTTCGCTGCCACTGCAAAGGGGAAAAAAATGTGCCGTGGAGACGAAGGGGAGCGGCTGGCTCCACACCCCCGTGCCTGCCCCGACCCGTGCCTGTCCCTGAGCGTGCTGGCAGATGCCCTGGCTGTGGAGCAGGGAGCGATGGCAGGAGCACGGAGGCAGGAGCACAGAGGCAGGGGGCTGCCTGCATGAGGCTGCCCACCAACATCAAGGCTGGTGGGTCCCAGGGATGGGCTCTGCCAGCTGTCATCTTTGGAAAGGGATGGGGGACCCAGATGAGCTGTATCCAGCGTTGCGCTATTCCTGACGAGGGGTCTGACGTAGGTGGGCACGGGTGGAAAAGGGACCAGTGGGCTCCCACGCTGCGCGGGCATGGGCAGCTCTGCTGGCAGGGGGATGCTGCTGGATGTTTCTGCCCTCCAAGGAAAGTCCTGAACCAGGTCGGGCCCTCCTCCTGGTGCAGGGGGAAAAAACAGGCTCTGGAGAGAAACAGTTTGTGTCCTTTTAAGGCAATGCAAAGGCTGGGACTGGAATGATCAGGCTGGAAGGGAGGGATTTGGCTGGGGCTGCGCAGTGGTGGGAAGCCCGGCCTGCGGGGCATTCAGAAAAGAGACTTCCCGGCTGCTGGGATCACACCCCAAACACAGCTCCGTGGGTCCCTGGAGCCAGCACAGCCTCCTCTCCAGCCCCCGCGCCCGGCACCCTCCGCAGCTCCGTCTGTCTGTCCTGCGCTGAGACCCTCCGTGCATCCAAAAGCCGGGAGCTGCGGCCAGGCTAGAGGGGGGCCAGCGCCTCTGCACAGCCCTGCCAGCGTGCCTGCCCCGACCCGTGCCCTGCCTGCCCTGCCTGCCCTGCCTGCTGCTATAACCAGGCCCAGATCAATTGCCCTTTTCTATTGCCTGACCAAGTACTCTTACGCAGAGAAGAGCTCGGCTTTCCCATATGCTGGAAGGTGCAGAGATCTCGCTGTGCCTGCGAGCAGAGGCTTTGCAGCGCTTCGTCCTCCCTCATCTCTCCGTCTGACGTTTATACAGCCCCCAGTCCTGGTGTGTTTAGCACCCATCTCCCCGACAGCCTGCCGGGCAGGGCAGTGCTGCTGGCTCCGTTGTTGGGTGGGGGACTGGAGACCCAGAGAAAGGGCTTCAGCTGCCTGCGGTGACCCAGGGATTCGGAGCTGCTGCAAGGAGTGGGCTCAAAGGCTGGGCCCTGGTGTGCCCCGGCAGGCCCAGGTCCCCTTCCTCATAGCCACGCAGCTGAGCCGAGGGAGGTGAAGAGATCCTGCACGTGCTGGGGGGTGGCACACAGTGGAGTGTGAAAATGGTGTTTGGTTTTGGGGACCTTGTCCTGCTGCTTTAGCTCTTCAGGAGTCGGGAAGCACACGGCTGTGCCTGCAACGGGAGGGTGACTTCTGCTGCTTGTCCCCACGTGGGAGCAGGACAGAGAATTACAGAAGAGAGAGGCCTCTGGAGACCTCCCAGGCTGCAGCTTGTGCCCATTGACCCTTCTCATATCATTGGGCATCCCCAAAAAGTGTTTTGTTTTGTTGTCTTTGTAGCAACCCTAGGTTGCTGTTAGATCCTCCTTAGCCTCCTCTTGGCCACGCTCAACCAGCCTGCCTCCCTCAGCATCTCCTTGTAGGACTTTGTTGTTTGAATGTCTTGAGGTTTATGTTGGCCCCATCTTCAAAAGTACCAAGGCCCCTCTGGGTTGGAGCTCTGCCACTTGTGTTAGCTGCTCACAGTATTTTGGGGTTATCTGCGAATTTCCAGATCAAGGGGCCTCTTGATCATGTCTCATCAGATACATTTCAGAAAAGAGGAGAGAGAAATAGAAGCATTTATGTCCTGCCAAGGAGCTGCATGGTAGCTTAGGTTGGTGCTCAGGTGTTTGCCCTGCATGTGAGCCTGTGTCCCTGGGGCTGCTCATTTCCCAGCCTTCGTGACCGTACCTGCAGTCCTGCAGGAGACTGAGATGCCCGAGTACAGGGGGATTGTGTGAGCAGTTGGCCAGGCAAGGCACAGGCTAATGACGCTATGGGGGGCACGGTGCCAGAGCCCGCTGTGTTTGGTGGTACCAGGGGTCAGCTCCTGCCCTTTGGGCAGCCCTGACTATAACGCTACCCTGTGGTGATAGAAATGGAAGAGGTGTTCAGGGAGGAGAAGCTGGAACTGTTTCCAGCTGGGGTGACAACCTGTACACTCTCCAGCACCCAGGATCAGTCACCCTGGCCGTCGCTGCGTTGCCCTGTCAAGGGGTAATAGCAGGGCTGTGATCTAGCGAGGCGCCGGCGCTGTGGGTACCTCTGTGAGCGCCATCTCCCATCGTTGTCCTGCTTCCTCCCTTTTCCTGGCACAGAAAGGAGCTGTGAGGTCCCATGGCTCCCAGGACAGGGATTTCTGCAGCTCCTGGCTGGCAGGACCAGTGGTCCCTAGGAGGGAGCTGATACTGCTGGGTGCTGTAACGATGGGTCCCGTGGGCATCCTGAGTTCTGCTCGTTCTGCTAACTACCAGCCCTGCGAATCGGTGCAAACGGCAAACATCCGTGGGTGGTCTCCGGTGTGCAGATGCGGAACGGCTGCTGGAGCGCTGCTGGCGGGGGCCCGCTCCGGCTGCCTCGCTCTGCCCCATCGCTGCCTCCCGCCCGGCCAGCGCCCTGCCTGGCCTCCCGCCCTGACGCTGTTTCTTCCTGTGCTTTTTCTGCAGGATGCCAAACTGGGGAGGAGGAAAGAAGTGTGGCGTGTGCCAGAAGGCGGTGTACTTCGCCGAGGAGGTGCAATGCGAGGGCAGCAGCTTCCACAAGTCCTGCTTCTTGTGCAGTGAGTACTAGCCCTTCCCTCGCCCCTCCCGCCCTGCTTCCTGGCTCTCCGCCGCCTGGGTGCCCCATCACGTCCTGTTCACGCCGTGTAAACGCTCGTCAGGATTCCTCTACGCACAGCCCTGCTGTGGGAGCCGTGCCGCAGGCTTTCTGCTTTTCTCCAGACTTGGAAGTTAGTTCTGCTGAAGGAACACAGATCATCCCAGGACACCAGGGGCCATCCAAGCCGTCGGGGCTGACCTCAGCCAGCACCCACGCAAAGACTTAGTCTGTTCGTACACCAGGGAAAGGCTAGACTGAGTCCTCTAGACTATATCCAGCTGTTCAACGTTGGAGCATGAGACAGGGACTCTCCAAACAGTGGTGGCAGGAGGTGGCACATCCCATGCAATTATCTGAGGTGATGCTAACTTTAGTCTTCTGAGTGGCTTTGCCACACTTGAAAGGTGGTTGGGCCTTGGGAACTGGCATGGGATCTGCCCCTGTGTCCCAGGAGATGATGGGAAGAAGATGTGGTCCTGTTCTGGCCCTTCTGCTGATGGAAGGCCTGCTGTGAAGTGCTAAAGCATCACCTCCCGCCTGCCTGGAAATCTGCTGTTGCGGAGGGTGTCTGTTTTTACCCAAGTGTCACCTCCAGGGAAGGGCAGCAGAACAGGATCTGGCTGTGGATTAACTCAGTGCAGAGGTCCCTTCCTCTGCCTGCTCTGCAGGATCCTACAAGTACTCTTGGGTTCATGCTGCAGGTCCCCAGACACCCGTCCCCTCCCTTTGGGGATGCCAGGGCAGCAGTGCGGGGACAGGCGACTAGTGGTTACGTTGCTGAGAGCAGCTCCTTAAACCTGGGGCATCCACATCCAGGGGGGCTGCAGGACCTTTGAATAAAAAGATGAGCACTGTCCCTCAGCCTGTGTTTACCAGATTTCTGTCCCCTGCCCTGGAAGGCTATCACATAACAGAACTAGCGATTCTCACGTGCTAGCAGGAGCGTGCATGTTGCCTGTGTCTGCTGATGGCTCATCAGCACGTTGCATCTGACACGGGAGTGGAAGTGCATCTTCAGAGCTGCCCTTGCAGCAAGGTCCCACTGAGGTTTAACGATTTCTCAGCTGGTCCCTGTACCCTGTTCCCAGTCTCACCGTCCCACTGCAGCAGGGGGCACAGATCTGATCTTTTCCATACGGGCAGCAAGCAGAGCTAGGGCCTATAAAAACAGGCACCCAGCTAGAACTAATGTCAGTAGGTCTGTTCCAGCAGGGAAATACCAGTGTCCTCATGGGGCCGATCCCTGCCATGCTCCTGTGTCCACTTGGCACGGATACGGGATACTTCTTGGCCAGCCTGCCTGGGACTCAGCATGCACAGATGGATGCAGATGTGTGAGAGAGAGGCTGTTGCTGCGTCGCTGCTCCCTGCGCAATGTGAAGAGTGGCCAGCGTGGCCGGTGGCTCTCGTACGTGGGAGTTTCCAGGCTGGAAACCTTGCTTTGGCTTGAAAGGACTAAGAAGGGGAGTTGCGGAGAGGCTTTCCCCGGGCGGGCAGGGGGGTGGCAGGCTGTGTCCTTAGTGCAGCTGCTGTCTGCAGCAGGAAGCCGTGTTTCTTCTGCAGCCTCAGATAAGGAGGGTGGGGAATGTTACCCTCATCTCCCCCGCCGCTGGCTTTTACTATCTAAGTCCACGTCAATGAAGGAACTCAATGTGGGGACTAAGACCCCATTGCACTGCATCTGCCCTTTCCCACGATCCCTGTGCACGCAGCTGGATTGCTTAGGGAAAGCTTTGCCCTGGGATGCTGGCACCCAGGGCGCGGTCAGGCCTCCAGGAGCCACGAAATCAGGCAAAAGGCATTGCTTGGAGAAGGGAATACCCAGGCAAAGCAGGGACGAAGGTTGTCCCATGTCTGCTCATAGAAGCAAATCACCAGGGAGTGGCCTGGAGCCGACTACAGCCAGGGCTCCTGTCCCTGTGCTTTGCAGACGTGCAGGCTCACGGCTTGGATAAGTGCACTCTCTGCTGGGTAAACAACTGGCTGGACAGCCGAGCCCAGGGAGTGGTGGTGAATGGAGTCAAACCCAGTTGGCGGCCGGTCACGAGTGGTGTTCCCCAGGGCTGGTACTGGGGCCAGTCCTGTTCAATATCTTTATCAATGATCTGGAGGAGGGGATCGAGGGCACCCTCAGTCAGTTTGCAGCAGACACCGAATTGGGTGGGAG